TCTGGGTCAAGGCAAAAGAGTGGGAAACAAAACACAAGTGCAAATCGCAAAATGAGCGAAATGAGATAGATCTTATGTGATGAACAGATGGGGCGGGTTGACCCGCAAAAACACAAGCCAGCAGCCTGCTGAATCTAATACTTTGGCTCTGGCATGGTCATTTTGCACCCTGCATTTGTCTTTTTTTTTGAAACGTGGTGAGACTTTGAGTTAAAATCCCGGTTGTCAACACTGCAATTCCGACCACACTGCATGAACCCCATTCCTGTGGATGTAGCATGGATGTTACGCCGTGTTACGCCTATAATTTAAAAAATATCAAAAATATTCAAAAAAACTTACATAATGACTGTGAAACAGTTTTGCACATGCAGGTCTCCTCTCTATCCTAACGGCCTAGCGGCCTAACGGCCTAGCGGCCTAGCGGCCTAGCGAAGCCAGTTGCAACATGGGCATGTCATGGCGGCATCTGCGCAAGCTGTCCGACATTACCGACATTCGTGTCGTCAGTGTGCTGCTCCCTTCTGGTGATCAACTGGCAGTATCGTTCTATGTTTGAACGGGTTGAACCCTCAAAGACATTCAGAAAGACTCAAAACACCTCAAGACCAGGTTATGTTGACCAAGTCTCCATATCTCTTGCTTTTCGTTTTTCGTTGCAAAAATCGAAATGCACTTTTGACGTAGCAAGACACTAGCAAAGCAGCAGCGCTGCATCGCCCAGGTTGCTCCACTTGAGCATCCCTCATGACCTGTCCCATGTCAAGATATGTCAAGCAGAACACAAGCACCTTGTTGATGGCTCAACATCCGCAAATGTTGGATGAAGAACGCCTGAACAACTTACTCCAACGCAATTGGTGGAAATCAAACAAGAACTGAATTGATTGTGGGAAAGGTCAAGAGTCATGTCAATCCAGCCAACTTCGCAAATCATTTCACAAAGGTTTTCGGATCGTTGGTAGATTTCCTTGTTTTCTCTGTGTCTACTGAGTCGACTGGACCTCTCTTGGTATATCCTCTGGTGATGTGTTCCCGATATTGAGCAACCCAATGGCCCAAACACCAAGTTGCTGCAATCAGGTGCTGCATCCTGGAATTTGGACATTCCCAAGGTTCAAAGGCCATAATTTTGATAAACCTACTGTATGCGATATTCAACACAAAACCGGTATATGTACCTCGGTATCTGTGTGATCTTCGTGTTTCAATCTATAAGATATCAAACGGCGGGAAAAAAAAAAGGAGTTGTCATGCACAAAATACATGGAGATTTGAAGTGGCTGGAATCCACTGTGGCACCTCCATCAACAGTTTGGTAATGCGAGGAAATTCAACACATTGTTGTCCTCGGGTTGGTTGTCCATACCACAAAAAACATCTTGCAACACCTGTCCCTATATGATGTTTTTTGCACAATCTAAGGAAAACAAAACAACAAATCAGCATTCAAAATTTGTTGCTATCCAATATTGCGTTGATGGTATCACGGGATGATGGAGCGAGCACACATCATCAACTCGTTCAGTGAAATAGACAACCAAAGAAGAGAGGAGGCGGGAACAAAAAAACATAATGGATCAGCAAGTAGGTTAAGGCGCAAGAAACCGGTTTTGCTGTGAATGTTCGATTATTTTTTTTTAAGCCTCCACCAATGCTTCCGCGGAGCGAACATCTGGATACTTCATCAGAGCCTCCAGCAACTGTGCTGCGGCAGACGATGCCGCCTTTGCGGAACCCAACATTCGCAATGCAAGAATTGCTGCCTCGGCAACATGAAAGCAGTGGGTTGGATGCAAAACAAATCACAATTTGTCCAATTTTTTTGCCTGCACTTGTCTACTTGTCTCATTGTTGGGTTTGCATGTCTCACATGGCGCAATTGCACGAACAGACTTCATGAACAATTTTCCGGTCCAATTTGTTGCATTCATTCAAAGTTTAGGCAAAAGTCTCCAGCTTCCACAATAAACGGTTGTTGGTTCTCCAACGCTGCAATGCTGCAAAGTTTTCGACAGGCCGTTGTCCTGGAGATCAAAATTTACAAACGAAAACCATTTGCAGTTTTGATTGTACGATTCTTGCACCTCTCTAGTCTGTCTTTTTAACCAAGCCTGGAGGTTGTCACGGACATAGCCTCAAAAATCACAGGTTAAAAATCAAATAATTCACTTTGTTCAATACATGATCAATGTTTGTGGTTCCATTTTCAGCATGGTGAGCCTGTACAAATTTGCCGATGTCCGGGTGTTTCACAACTTCTGGGATCTTGTCCTGCCAGCTACCAGTGCATTCCATGTTTCAAAATGCAATTCAGTGTTCGCTGCACTTGTAATTCCTTCAAGGTTTCTCATGTCAATGTCGCATTTCCAATGTTTCATGCAAATCGACCTGCCATTCCACAAGTTTCTGGCGCTTCGCATCAGACGCTGAGGCACGGAAACACCCAACCATTGATGAATTCACTTTGGAACTATACCAATTGATTTTATTTGACGCTGAAAATGCAATGAATATGCCCGTGTTGAAAACATATACCGGCAAATCAAAATTGCGACCCGATCCATTTTCAGCTAGATTTTGTTTGTTGTTCTGTTTTCAGGTTTCAACCAAGCAAAGAACATGCAATAAATGGCATTTTCTATTGTGCCAATGGCAATGCAAAATTTTTTTTGGTGCCGTGACAGGTGTGCACCACAAATAATCACTTGGTCACCTGGCAGGTGCACCAAGGTGGGAAACATGGATGTGCGAAACCAATCGGGGGATGATTTCATCCCACCAGTTTTGCTGCAAGCCGATGCGTTTGTTCATGATTTTTCTTAAGCACGAGCAAAAACGATACCACGGGGCTGGCATCAAGACAGCGGATGCTGGTGGCAATGTAATTGTCCAAAGACAATGACCGTGAAACATGGTAGGCTAGATTGCGCCTGGGAACACGACACAACAACATTTTTTACATGTCATTGCATACCTCGTCCTTCAATGGCATGGTATCCTTTCAAAACATAGTAATGCCTCCCCCCCTTCCCACAATACGCACCATGTTTTTAAACATACGACATCCTGCTCAAAAAATGGAATGTAAAGGCAATGATGAAATATGTTCCTTTTCTGGACTCAAAATTGTAGGGTTCGTGCACGAAAATACCGCGTTGTCTTCAAAAAAAACAGCACATTTGCAAGTCATGGAACACACCTGTTCAACCATCTTGGCTGTGGGAACGGCATGTACACAACGAGCTTGGTCACAAAGAATTATGCAAGCATAAACTGACCGGTGGGGTAAGGGGACGGTGGCGGGTGCTTCCGATCCATAAAAAGCGTGGGCCCACCGCCCTCCTTTAAACCACAATGAAAGGGCATTCACTTGAACTGACCCATCTATTACCATTTTATAAGCAGTTGTCATACACGCCAGCTAGTTGTTTCCAATCGCCGTTCATGCTGCAACGACACATCTGTTTTTCACCGACTGGGTTTTGGTTTTGATTGTTCAGCCATCTTCCCCAATTTCTTCTCCACTGACAAGCTGAGTGAACACAAGCACTGCAAGGCAGTCCCAAAAACATCTGCAAATCTGTTAAGCAGGCGGCGTGCACAAGCAAGTCCTTTTACATCGTGGGTTGAGCCACCGTCGAAATGTCACAGACAAATGGATGTCTGAGTGCAAATGGATACATGGATGACATGAAACTGCCAAAAGAATGTAACACACCACCTCAAAATCGGGGTGAGCCAGCAACGATTTTGTGCTGACTGTTGAAATCATTTCATGTCCACTGCCAAAGAAGGTTAACCAAAAGGAATAGGGAATCCATGATCCCGATGAATAAACCATTGTTCACAAAAGCTTCCAAAACAGTCCAAATACTTACCTTCAATGACAATGCTCTGAAAAACACGATATTCATGTTGCTGCCTACGGTCCCACCATAGTGGGTGATCCCAGGACATATCCGGTTGATTTGGATACAGGACCATCAGGTGACACAGGTAAAATTCTCTCAGATTTTGTTCTGATAACAAAGCCACCTCACGCACGCGTTGAGTTCGTTCACGTTGTTGGCGTGGGAAGTACTCCTCGGCCACATCCAAATTTTGCCAATCCAAACCAACTCGAGGTAGATCTGGAAGATCATCAGGTGTCCCAGGAGGGGATCCAGGCAGCTCCACGGTCTCGTGCGGAACATGTGGTTCAGGGCCTCGATGTTCAACCATCGGTGAGAAGTCAGTTTGAACCTGAGCATCCACTGGTTCATCCTCTGTCTTGTTTTCTTCCTCCGCATTCTCATCCGCATACTCTGGGTAAAGCTGAGGGTCTACAAGCATGCTTGCTTCCAGCGGATCTAACTCTTCCACCTTCAGGCGTCTCCTTGCTTCAAAGCGCGGTCGCACATACTTTGCCAAACCTGTCTCTGTTTCACGGAAGAATTCTTCTCCAGAATCGGCATCTCGTGCATCGGCCAAAACACGCAATTGTTTCAGCTCGTGGTTCATTGGGTCCCAATCATCCACCAACGCAAGTTCGCGTCGTCGATGTAGACGTCGCAACATCCGCATGGACCATTGTGTCATGTAGACCACCTTCTCAATGTAGACCACCTTGTGGATGAAGTACCCAATGCAAACCCCAATAAAGACAAAGACCAGGGTGTAGAAGACCACAAAGACCTTGTTGTCCATGAAGAAGTCGAGGTACACATACTTCACCTCCAGCACCTTGAGCTCGACCATCTCCGCGTTGAAGCCATCCACCATAGGCTGCATAGCCAGCAAAGTCATCAACTTAACCATCGGCTTTGAAACCTGTGCTTGAAGACCTTCAGCACCATCGCTCAGCGTGTTGAGCATCACCTGGCGAACAACCTTCATGTTCTTGCTGAGGGCTTTCTTCCGCATCTCTTCGTTGAACCCCGCTTCGCCGACTGGCACATAGGATTTGGTCGCTTCGTCATAGACCACCATGCCCATGAGGAACATCAGAAAGGATCTGCGAAGTTTCGAAAGCTTCTTTGTACCGATATCAGCCACATTCAGAAGCGTCGCCACGCCAGTCATAGTGAGCATGCCCAATTTGACACATTGCTGTAGCCATAGATACTTCGTCTCGATATGCTTGAGACGTCCAACTCCTTGGCGTTGGGCAAATGCTCTGCAGCTACTGGAATCGGTCACCACATCCACTTCAGTCTCTTTTCTCACAAGGAATGTCCACAACCTTCCAATGTGAATGCCTTCTGCTCCTCCACCAACTGCCGCAAGATATTCGCTTTCACAGGAACTCAAAGCAATGCTCTTCTGGGAGCGGGACCGGCTTGTCACAGCGCGTCCATTCAGAAAAATCATCGCAGATGAAACTGAATGCCTCCTTCGGGATGAGCAATTAGATTGGTCACCTGCCCAATCCGAATCCGTGAACACTTCCACGAGTTCAGAGGTCGTGTGGTTTGCGGCACAGCAGAATGCTGAATTGTGCGAGGATGGGTATGGTCCCCATACTGTATCCATCTTTCGGTATACCAAGCCTGCCGAATATTTATTCCAATAAGTTTCAAAGGGAAACCTGGAAACCACCGCGGCTACGCATTACTGCAACACAACCAAATTAAAAAGTCAAAAGAACCGCACAGAAAAATGTACATATGATATTCCGTACTTATATATTAAGTACAACATACGTACACGCGCAAAACATGGAAAACAAAATGAGTGCCGACGAACGAGGGAATCAAACGCAACTCCTTTTTTCATCTGTGGGGAACGCTGCTTCGAGATCCGTTGTAATAACGGTAGGGTTAGGCATCCCTTTCCCCGGGTTGGGAAAAAAAACGTGGAGATGACCACAGTTTTAGGGTGGGTGAACAAAATTTCGTGGGGGATGCCACTTGAGACCAAAATGCCCACATGTAAGATAGATGTCACATTGATAAGAACAGATCCCTGCCAAGAACAGCACGTCACCTTGAAACATCAAAAGTTTCACACTGATAAGAACAGAAGACCGCTAAGTCCCAGAATGCACAGGTTCTGTACATGACATCATATTACTGGACATTTGGTTCTAAATAAGAAAAAGGGTTTGTTGCAGTAACCGTCGCGTACCCTCCTACGCTACGCGTATCGCACGGAAGTTTAGAGGTTGATATTTCCAGGTTACCCAAAAAGTCTTTGAACACCAGGTGTTCAAAGACAGAGAAACTTAAAGGAATAAAGGGTTCATCCTTACTTCGTTCCTCAGACGGAGGGGACCCTTATTCCAATAAGTTTCAAAGGGAAACCTGGAAACCACCGCGGCTACGCATTACTGCAACACAACCAAATTAAAAAGTCAAAAGAACCGCACAGAAAAGTGTACATATGATAATCCGTACTTATATATTAAGTACAACATACGTACACGCGCAAAACATGGAAAACAAAATGAGTGCCGACGAACGAGGGAATCAAACGCAACTCCTTTTTTCATCTGTGGGGAACGCTGCTTGGAGATCCGTTGTAATCCCCACTATGGACCACAGCTCGCAAGCACGTCCAACCAGTCCACGGAGAAAAAGGTGCTCCCAAGTTTCGTCAAGGTATCAAAGTTTCCACGGCTAGGGTCGTCAGCCAAGTTGCTAACGCTCGGTACCCTTGCATACCAGGATTTCGTTCCCAAGTGGTACTCCGAATCCATTATCCTGGCAGCCACATGCTTTGCAACAGCGGTTTCACCGCTCCCTCTCAAGAGCGCTAACCTGACCGATTCATTATCTATGTAATGAACGACTTGGCATCCTCGAATGAGGTGTCCCCAAAGTCTAAAAGAGACTAGTACGGGAATCATCTCCAACTCATGTATCGGATGCTTTGAGGCACGCAAAAGGTGGCGCATCACCTCTGGGGTTGCGTCGCAACCAAAATGATGAACCACTCGGTGATTGGGTGCGACTAGAACACCGCCAATGCTCCCGGTGGTGGATCCATCTTCACAGGCCCCATCAGTGAAGATTATCCAGGTTGAAAGGTTGTTGATTCCGAGAGGTACGGGCTTTGCGGACTCCAACCGGACAAGCAACTTCTGAACGACCAAAATTTCACATTCATCCAAAACGCACGACGTCCTTCCAAGACGACAAAGGTTTCCAAACTCCTTCAAATCAAGGTTTGCAATTCTTCCAAAGACATAGCATTCAAAGAAAAGCATCCTTCCCCTCACTCTCTCAGCTTCTTTGGTGGACAACTGTCCATTACTGACGATGTCTCTCAAACATTGTTTTAGTTCTGTGATCCTCTCATCAGTGTGACCCACCGAGAAGCGCAGTGAGGGTGCCTCGACCATGTTGACGATCAGACCCAACATCCTGAAAACGTCACTGAAAGGTGGTGCCTTGGACCCGTCCTTGGCGTATTGTAAACCAATCAACTCAAAAAGTGAGGAGATAGCCCAGTGGGTGTTGGAAGCAAGTTCAGGCCTTGTAAGGGAGGAATAATCATCAAAATAAGCACTCCATGCAACGCCCATTCCAAAAACTCCGATCCACCAAATTGCAAAGGAGACACGCAAGAAACCAGCTACCGATCCAATTGCCCCGAAGGGCAAGGCATTTAGCCCCAGCAGTATCGGGTCTTTGGACCCGGGTTTGTTCACTGCGATGCTCACAAAATCTCTGTCATGGGAACACAATCCAAACTGCTTGTAGGCCGATTTCAAGTCGTATGTCCTCACAAGTACTTTGCAGTGTTGCCCTTTCGAGCACTTGAAGCTATGGTCCAGCATTCCACATAGTTGATCAATTGTAAGGCAAACTTCTCTTTTGTACCCACCGTCAAGTTCAAGCCACAAACCGTACAGTCATCTATGACTCTGGTTTTTCCTCCCTGTCGTATCCCAAATCTCCGCGCAACCGACTTCCCAGTCCAGTCGGAGGTGGTGTCCTCCCAAATCCAATCCTGCTCTATCTCATGCTCAGTCTCACCCCAGGTGTCCTGTTCGAGCACGCCCTCCTGTCGGATGCTCATTTGTTGCATGACTTTCTCATTGAAGGAGTTCGAGGATTGCTTCAACGCATCAACAGTCAGTGTAGGGTTTCTCACCTTGCGCGGGAAAAGATTGGAGTCAGGCATCCATCCACTGAGCTTGAACCCATTGCAGAGGCCATGTAAAAGATCTTTATCTGGAAAACCCAAGTCAGCCAGCATAACACCCAGTAAATGAAGCCTCTTCCCTTTCATCAACTTCCGGATGTGCGGCGGCATCTTGAGTCTCAGTTTAAGCTCTTCTGCTTTGGATGTCGTGGCGAGTTGAGTGTACTTCTTGATGAAGTCAATGCGCCTACCTGCCAACAAGTGTGGTGGTCTGTGGAAATTATCCATGAGCACTTCATGCATTGTGGGGTCAACATGCCTTTCCAGATCTTTGGGGTGTCCTGCATCAATTGCCTTCTCCAAAAAGGCCATAGGGTCGTGTGGGACCCCCACATGGTGACATTCCACTGTCTGATCTTTTGAGATGTCGACCTCCGAGATTTCCAGAAAAACGCATTCACCACGGAATTGTTCCGCCCGAAAAGTTCCCCAGGTCCAGAGTCTGCGGGACAATATTTTTGCTCCTTTAGGAAAAAGTGTGAGCACTTGAGCGCAAAGATCCACATGTTGTGCAGGGGTGACAACATATGTGTAGTGGGAAAATTCAGGTACCAGTGGGCGTAACTTCGTGGATCTGGGCAGCGCTTCAAAAATATATCTATTCATTAAGGAAAAATCCTTGTCAGACATTTGCTCTTCCAAAGTGGCATGCATGACGGCTCCAAAACGTTGAGCCATGTCCAAGACCAAGTTAATGATTCTAGTACAAAGAAGCCAGGGATATGCTGCCTCTTCGGCTGTGGGGAAAACCAAGCGTCCATCTCGAATCTTTGGTCTCCAGCTTTGGTGCTGATGCTGGCCATCACAAAACATTTGAAGTGGTTGCATCCAATCCTTGTTGCTCCAAAAGGAAGTAAGCTTGTCTCGGGAGCCACCGTGGCAACAGTTATGGAAGTCCGTCATGTAACCACCTAAAATTGTGAGGAATTTCTGCAAATGAAGTCTTCCAGTAAAGACTGTTAGTAGGATTCTCCACAACAACGCAAATGTCCAATCCTGCCGCAAAAAGAATCAGTTTCGTAATTCCTTCATATAATTGGTTTGCCAATTCGGTCTTGAGCTTGTCGAGACCTTCGAGGTTGTCCAATCCGTCTGGTTGCAATCACTACGAAGTGGGGCTGGTGCTTTGCGCCCTCTGAGCAAAGAGCTTTTGATTGGCCTTCCCCTGGCTCTGCTTGCCGTCCCGCAAGGAGGTGCAATAAAAATCATCAAAATTCTGTTTTTCTCTGCCTCAACAATATCAAGGAGCAACTGGAGCTGTGATGCTATAGCTCCTGCCAGTCCCTCCCTGCAATGATCCCGTAGATCCCTCAGCGGCACAAATTGCGGCGTACGCAACCGTGCCATTTGCAGCTGCTGGCCGCTTCAAGCCCTTCTTTGACGCAGGACGTTTCAAAGCTGCTTCCTCCAACAAACGAGCGTTGCCTTGTAATGCTTCCAACTGCTGTTCCACTGACATCTCCGGATCCTTCTGCTCGTCTTGCACAGATTTTTTTGGAAGACACCCCGTAGGTGTCTTCTCTTCCACAAGACCATCTTCAATCGCCAACAGCTCCTTTTGCGCAGGCACCGGACATGTTACCGGACTCGACAGCGATAATACTTGCTGTGTCCCAGCATTCTGCATTCCCCGCGAACATGCTTCTACGACCTTGCAGATCGCATCCACACTTAAGCCAGACGATGCAGACCCTGAGGACACAGAACCTGCAGCGATGTCCGCTTCCCCCTGCAGAAGTTTATGATCCTTTCGCAAAGGCATATTGCGCACGAATTGCATGACATCAGCAGCAAACTCCTTCTGCTCCATCGGTTTCCCCGTAGGAAACACAGACTGTGCAACTTCACTGGGCAAATCTTTCCATGACACAGGCAACTCCAAAATGGTCGTGGACGATGGAGGCACAGACAAGTACTTTGTCACAACGGGCTTCTTCTGCAGGTACAAGTTGTATTTTTCCTTCGCAGTCATTCCTTGGCATAACTGTGTCCAGTAGGCCAACGCGATAATCGTTGCTTTGCTACCTTCCGTTGCAACCCGCAACGTCAGCTTCGCCGCGTGGGCGCACACGTCAAAAAGCAACTGATCTCTGTCAGTACCCTCACCTAAAATTTTCTGACATAATTCTTCAGTCAAAAAAAAAGGCAAAGTGGCAAAATCTTGCTGCGTCGTACGCACATTATCTGCAACCACAGCTTTCGTCTTGCTCGCCAAAAGCAACCGAAACCCTTCCACGTGGGAAGGGCTCCAGACCTGTGGATCTATAGCTCCAAGAAGTCCTGCGGCTTCCCCTGGACTCACTGCCGGCATTTTTTCCAAAGATTTCTTTACGCCAGCAGCCTGCTTCTCAACAAAATTGGCATACGTCGCCAACTCGCGAATTCCACTTAGGAATCTTTGCGCCGCCTGCAGCTGCTTCATACACACAGCCATGACTACGGCAACATATATGGCTCCACCGAGTTATCCAATGGCTGCGCAAACATGTGACATCACACTGCTCGCCATCCTCCAAACTATTCTATTTCAAAGTCATGCATCATACTTGTCATATCACTGAAAACATATTCTTTTTCACAACATTTTCAAACAACTATCCCAAAACATCCTTTTCAAAAAAAGCTAAGTGAAAGCTAAGTTCAACCTATCTTTTGTCATGTTGTAGACGCTTCCACTTATAAGTAACCTAAGTCCCCCTTATGTTCGACCTAAGCGATGTATAGCATAGCAACAACTTAGGCCATATAACAACTACTTAACATATACTTACCCCACTTATAAGTCCACTTAGCTTGAACTTATAAGTCCCCTAAGTCCTAGGAGCCTCCAAAGTAGACATACTGTACCCCGATGAAGGGGCAATTGTCTCAGCTTCTCCACAGCTGGTGATGCCTTTGCACCGGGGCTCGCCTTAGGCCGGCGATGTGGGCTCTCCAGTTTTCGCCTTTGGAGGCGTCTTGGGTGGCGTCTTTGGCGCACTTGAAACTCTTGCTGGAACTGGTGGTGGCGGTGGTACCTGAGGTGGCGCCGGAGGCGCTGGCGGTGGTGGTAGTGGGCCCTTGGCTGGAGAAGGCTTCACTGGAGGGGCCTTCACAGGGAGCTTGGGTGGTGCAGGCGGTTGTTGTGGCCCTTGCGGAACCCACCCCTTCGGCGGGTGTGCAGGCGGCTTCGGACCCATCGCCACTGCCGCATTGCTGCTGGCCGGAAGCTGGCCGCTTCTCTTCGGTGGCGTCTGAGGGGGACCCATCCCAGTCCTCTGACGGGCTCTCGGAGGGCTACTCCTCGGACCAACCGTGGCCTCTCAGCCTCTTGTTGTGCAACCTCAGTGTCTCCTGGGTCAATCCAACCTCTGAAATTGAATCACCCGGGGCAACCTCATCGCCCACAGTAGAGTCTGGCTGGTGCTGTCCTCGTGGCGTCAGAGTCACACGCCCATGAGTAAGGCTCACCCTTCTCTCCATCTCAGGACACTGAGAGATAATGTGGCCTCTCTGTCCACAATGACCACACTTCAGACCTTTCGGATTCTTCCAGCTGAATCCACTGAAGGACCTTACAAAGGCGGGTCCTTTGTCTTCCTCAGCTTTCGGGTTTCTTGTATCGATCTGCAACTCCTCTCTCTTGTGTGACTGAGGGTTGTACATCCTTCGGACGACCCTTCTCTGACCTGGCAACCTCGACCCTGTCACAACCTCAAACGTAGGTGTTGGCCTCGATTCCTCTTCTCTCCTCTGTGCAGCGAAGTACTCGAGTGCCTCCTTCTGCCTGTTCTTCCAAGCCTGACGCTTGGCCTTACGACGACCAGCCTCGCGTCGTCTCTTCAGCAAACCAGTGGCCTCCCAGGCCTCTTTCTTCACCTGAATCACAAAACGACCAGGCTTCCTGGGCATCTTCTTCACAGCAGGTTCACGTCCAGGGGCTTGAGACCTTCCTGACGGTCCAGCTTTCTCCACAGGTCTGCCTCGAGCAGGCATGGCTTTCTTCTTGGGTCTCGGCGGCTGAGCTTTCTTTGGAGTGACCTCCACGACGTCCTCAGCTTCGACAACTGCAGCCTCTGCTGCACCAGGTACCGCCTCAGTAGCGGCAGGGGGAGCTGCAGCCTCTGCTGCCTTCGGCACTGCCACAACATCTTCTGACAACACTGCCTCTGCAGATGTCACCACAACAGTCGCAGCTTTGGCTTCACCACCAACGATGGTAACCGTATCATCAGACTCTGGTGCCGCACCGACACCTTCAGCCATTGGATGCCCAAGGAGCGCATGGCTGTCCGGCGCTCTGGGCTCCTCTCGTTCTGCAGGGATACGTCCAGCCATAGCGGAACCGATTCCCTCGCCTTGAAACCTTTCGCAAACAGCTACAAGTGCATTGATCATTTGAATGCATGAACGTGGAAATGACGGCAATTCACAAGCTGTTGAATTTGCAGGTTCTTCACAAATCAACTCTCCACAAAACATGCAGTTTCTGTTTGAAAACGCACACAAAATACCTGAGAAACTGTTGTCGCAGATTTCAAAATCGAGCAAACAATCCAAAAAAATACCTTCAAACGACGAAAAACCAAGTACCTCCATGTACTGCAACGCTTTGATCGTCGGCAAACATTTGGTAAAATGGTCAGCGACGTTTCCAGTTCCTCGAACATGCCCAATTTGAAAATCGATGGCAATCCTCATCCTGGCCTTAATTGAAATCGATGTCACTGATAGTCTCAAAATATTTTTCATCTGTAAAGAGAACTCCGGTACCAGATCCTTTGCTGACCTCCTTCTATGGCTCGACCCCCCGTCGGGGGTGTTTGGGCGCATAGGTAAGCTAGTGGGAGACCAAGAACGGAACAAGAGCAGCTACTCCCACACGAAATTTGACATACACCCGAGAGAAAGAAGGCAAATGCTGAATAAGTGCCAGTTAATTTTAGCCACCGGAGGTACTGTAGCCCAGAATCTTACCATGCAATGGTCCACAATGGGTAGCTTCATGCAAGAGCTCTCCCTCCTGGTCATTGATGAAGGCCAGCAATATGGTACTGACCGGGAAATTGCAGTCATCAGCTTGCTGAGACAGCAACCCTTAGTCTTGTGGACAGGGGACTCAGAGCAAACACCTGGCGGCATTGATCGGGCAGCCCGCAACGCGAAACGATCACGACAGCTCCTGCTGTCCAAAGCATGGGCTGCGAAGTGACCGAAATTATTATATGCCGGCTAACCTTGCAGATGCGATGATCCGGCTGTTGGACGGTTCGGCCAACGAAGGCTTAGCTACTCTCAGTCAAATCCTCAAGCGAGGACAGCTCACGTTGGGTCAACTATGGACAAGTCTTTTTTTTCCGTCCAACGCCATGCGGCTTCCGCCAGGTCGTTCAACAGCTATCTAAGCCTGTTGCAAATGACATTAATTATTTAATTCGCACAGGGGCCAATGCTGTAGTGGCCGCAAAAGTAAACTGGAAAAGGACCGATACATAGTCCAAAGGCTTGTCACGTTCCAGGGTTCAAAAACGGAGACCCAAAAACGAAAAACAAAGAACCAAAGCAAAACAAAAACACCAAAACAAACCCAAACAACAAACAAAAACCACACAAAAGAAAAACAGCCACAAGGCCACAAAACCGTGACGTGACAGATTCCAGTTTATATGTGAAACAGATCTGTTGAGGCGAGAGGTGATAGCTTGTTATCATCTCAGCGCATGCAGATGACAACTTGTGTGTCATGTTGGCAGGCCCATAAAATAAAACAACAACAAGACCAAAGACGAAATCACCATGGGCCACTTGAAGGGTGTGGGAAGCAACAAGGCTCAATGCGGAAACCAGGGATCCCCCCAGCCAGGATCCCCGAGATCACACCGAGCAGCCTTCACGGCATGACATTGAACACCCTAACACCTTGAAGCAAACACCGACAACGCCGGGTCACAACAAAGTGGTGAGAAACTACCGCAGTGAAACAGGAGAGTGAAACGTGATCTAGGGTGAAAAAGACGGCGCGGTAACAGCACTCAGGAACCCTCAGAGTCTGCTCAGTACTGCTTTTCCAATCATCATATTGCAACGAAATTGTGATATGCAATGCATCTTCGTGATATGGGGGATTGTAGCCATATATATGGGAGTTGCAGTGCAGTCTGGCGGTGTATACCGCTTTCAAAACTGAATCCAATGCGATCGAGTTCGCGAAGGGCGAGCTCGACAGCATGGATGCAGGCTTGCAAGCGTTGTGCAGCTCAAGCGGTCAACTTAGCAGGTGTTGAAATCAACTGCATTAAATGTGGTCAGGTGATCATGGTAGCTGGCTCAGTTACCTTGGTGTAGGAATACGAGCGTTTTTCTCTGCCCAGGGACCAGGTCTATTCTCAAAGTGTTCAAACGAGGTTCTGGACAGGCAACTTGTGTCAGCTGTGTTAAGGTCCTCAGTCCGGTAATGTTGTACGCTCGCATGCATGAGCTGTAGCTGTCGACTAATCACTTCACGTTCCGTAACATTGGCACGTGCTTCTACTCGAATGCGCAGACTTCTTATGCAACAGCAGGCTGTGCGAATGTCTCTGCAGTCTTGCTCGTTGATAACACCTGCAAGGAGTTCTGTTTGCTGCAATACGGCGTGGGTGTCTTCCAAAGTTCTGAGAGTATTCGTCAGTCTGTGCACATAGTCCTGCAAAAGGAGGAGATCCTGTGCCTCATTGTGAGTCTGGGGTTCTTGAGGCAGGCATACTACTTCACTTGGTTGCACTGAGCTCATATGGTCAGGTGGCATTCAAGCAATGCAGGTACTGGATTGCCTGAGCAAAACAGCAACGGGCGCCATGGCTTGATGTACTTTGACATCGCCCTAAACTACCATGCAACAATTAAGGTAGCACAACATGAACAAATACAAATCAAAAAAACCAGAACAGGATTATGATACCCGCCCCCTACCGCCTCCCTTCCCCGATTGGCTCCGACATGCTGACAGCAGAGGTAATTTCAGCAGGTGGCAATCAACCATGAGTACCCCATGGTGACAACACCGCTCAACCTGAGGCAAGTTACACGCTAAATGCAAGGATGATAAATTTGGGGTCTCTGCGTCACTCCGTGTGGCTCACTGGAACTGCTCGTGTGAGGCAGCGTGAGGCACTCCACTGCTACTAGCACCACTGGCTGCAGCAGCGGCGGGGGGTGGATCACTGCTTGCCGCTGGTTTCATCATTTGGGCGATAAGCGGGTGGGTTTGTTTGTCACGCAGGATTCGCGTCATTTCGCGAGCGAATGCCGCAGGGTCATCCACTAGTGCTTTCGCTTCCACCAGTGGCCTATCAAGGACAATGGCAATGAGCATTTCACCCCCATCTTTGTGGATTATAGTTGGTCGGCCGGCTTGGATCTCGGCGAGGATTGCCACTGCCTTGTTTTCACACACAGTGCGTTCCCATTCTTCCA